TCTGTTTAGGGTTCTGTAGCATTCCAGTTTATGTTGTGTTTGTGTGTGTGTATCCCAGTGTGTGAGATATTGCTGTTTGATCTGTGCTGTGATGTGGTTGAGTCTGGGTTGTGTTGCTTTAGCAGTGCTGTCCTGATGCTGGTTAGTGTCGGTGTGGCTCAGGTCAGTGAGCCTCAGGACCAGCTCTCTCTCTCTCCAGCAGTGTGGGCCCTGTTCTCAGTGCAGTAGTAACCTGTTGGTTCTTCTCTCAGAGATGCTCAGTACCCAAGACATGGAGACAGTTGCCGAGGCAACAGGCTGCTTGTCCGAGCTCCAGCCCCTGCAGTGCGAGACAGACTGTCTCTCAGACCGGTACCGCTCCATCACAGGAGAGTGCAACAACAGGTACACAACTACACAACTCAGACTGGTTTCGCTCCATCACAGGAGAGTGCAACAACAGGTCCACAACTGCACAGCTACACAACTCAGACCCGTACCACTCCATCACAGGAGAGTGCAACAATAGGTACACAACGGCACAACTCAGACCGGTACCACTCCATCACAGGAGAGTGCAACAACAGGTACACAACTGCACAACTCAGACTGGTTCCGCTCAGCACTTTCAAACACACTGCTTACTGCAGTGACCATCAACAGAAAGTGTGGTGATACTGGATTCTTCAGCCACATGAAATTCCAGGACTTGTCTTAAAGCAAAACGAACCAACTCCTCACTCTTGGGTCCACGTTTAGTACTTCTCCGGGCAGTGCAACTGTACCTGGACAGCAGGACAGCTCCCCAGTCCCAGGAAACACCACTCACACAAGTACGGCAGCAGCAGAAGCAGCTCATAGTCACCACCAAGCAGCTAGCAGGCAGCCACATCCTCCATATTCGGCTTATACAGGCTGGCCAGGGCACACAGATGATTCCTGATCTCTTGATGGCAGATACAGCCTTTTCAGGTGGAAGCCATCTTGAAACTATCTTGATCAGTCTGGTGAGCCATCTAGGTAGGGACATACTACCAGAAACTGGAAGAGTTGGTTTTTAGAGTAAAATAACCCTGCCCCTTTCCCTGGTGACATCAGAAGTTATAGAGATGAAGAACATGTACAGCTGTGTATCTACACAGCTACACAACAGTACAACAGCTGCACAATTACCCTTGTATATTTTTCCCTAGTATCATACCCTTGAATATGAATTGCAACAATACTAATTACAATCAGTAGCATCCGTCCTACAATTATCATTTCATGAGTACTACATAAGTATTAAAATTGCTGCTATAATCTTGATGCTGTTATTACATTTTTAGTGCAATTCCAGTTGTATTCATGAACTTGACACTATTAATAATGGAAGTATTAACAGGAGTAATATTGTTAAAATTGTTGATCAATATTCTAGCAGTAACGGCAATGATCATGGCCTCGCCTTGTTTGATCAATGCTATTGACAGTGTGATAATTAATATTGCTCTTTGCTCTGCTGTGACCTGTCTGACCTGTGACCTCTGACCCTGAGCAGGAAGCACCCCCGCTGGGGTGCGGCCAACACCCCCTACGCTCGCTGGCTGCCAGCACAGTACGAGGACGGTCGCAGCGCCCCCCGCAGCTGGGACCCCCAGCACCGCTACAACGGACACCCCCTGCCCCCGGTAAGAACGCTCCTCCCCTCGGCTCGCTGGACCCCTGAGCGGACCGGGAGACAGCGGGCGGCTCGTCCTGACGTCTGCACGGGGGAAGAGGAACACGCCAGCTGCCCGCAGCGACTCCACGTGACAGCCGAGTTTAAACGAGCGCGCTTCATTCTCGTCAGCGAATCAGAAATGACCCAGCCTGTACCTGTGTCCCAGCCCCAGGGTTCCCTGCTCATTCTCGAGCCCATTAGCTTTACTGCTGTCCAGAGCTCTCAAGACTTCGAACACGTCCGCCAAGCCCGTCTTCATCAGTGTGCAACACCAGAGATCAGGTTCTTTTCATCTGGCAACATATGACACTGAAAAAATGCACTGTGCTCCACACAC